GTGGAAGGAGGCGGACACAAAAGTCGCGGCGCTGTGCGGCGCCACCACGGCGACGGCAGGGGAGAAGGGCGCTGCTGCTGGGCAGGCGGCGGCGGGGACTGCCTGCAGCCCCCAAGTTCCCACGGATGGGCTGGTGGGCTTCTTGTCCGGCAAAGGCGACGCCACCCAGTGGGAGGACGAGTACCTTTGGATGAACGCCACAGTGGGCGGTGCGACAAGGGTTGCCAACGGCTTCAACCTGACGGGGCCCGCGTCACGGATTGTGTGGCCGGCGGTTGGGCTGGCGGGTGCCCCGGCGTACCGCTTCGCCGGGCGCGGGCTGACGGTGGTGGCGACGGTGGCGCTCCACGGCGCCCCCGAGGGCGTCACCCCGTTGCTGGGCGTCGGCGTGAGCGTGGGCCGGCACGTGTGCGAGCTGAGCCTGTGGCACGACGAAAAGCGGCGCTGGCGGACGGACAGGCGTGGGGGCGGGGCGGGCGCGCCAACGCCGCCGTGGAGGGCGGGGGAAACGTACCAGGTGGCGCTCGCGGCTAAGGGCGTCACCGGCAGCGCCTACGTTGACGGCGTGCGTGTGGGGTCGCTGGAGTGCGCCCTCGCGCAGGCAGCGGCGGCGGCGGCGGACGAAGAAGTGCCGCTCCCGCCGCACGACGAGTTGTTGTACGTCGTCTTTTTTGGAGGCGGCGCGAGCCACGTGACGCTGACGAACGTCTTTCTGTACAACCGGCTGTTGGGGGACGCGGAGCTGAAGGCGCTCGTAACGGAGAAGCCCAGCGCCCCGGCGACGGCGGAGGAGGCGTCGACGTCGGCCCCTGCGCAGGGAGGGCCCGGAAACGCATCCGCCGCCGGCCCGGGAGGCAAAGGCAAGCGCGACAGTTCCGTGCGTGGGCGTCTGTCTGCGGTGTCGCCGCTGCCGCTTCTGCTGGGGCTATTGGTGTGTGTCTCTCTCCTCTGAGCCGGAGAACAAAGCAGCGAGGGAGGAGGCGGTGAGGCCCGCGCTGGAAGGCGTGCAGAGTTTGTTTTGCGTTTGTTAATTGTTTTCTTCAGTGGGCTTCCCCTTTTTTCTTTTTATGTGTGTGTGGTAAATACTTTTTGCTTTCTTTTGCTTACACCCTCGCTGTGGAGGGGAGCGGCGGGGTCCCCGCATGGCTGTTTGTGTCTCTGTTCAGTGCACGCAGGAGGGGAGGCCGCGCCGCACCGGCAGAGCGGAGCAGCAGCGCGACGCAGAAGGCCCCTGCGAAACGCGACTGGCCGCGTGGGCACGCGGCGGGCCACAACGACGCGAGGCAGGCAGGACTTTTTTTCCTTTTCGCCCCCCGCAGGCAAAATGCGCACGCCGTTGCGGGACGCCACGCGACGACCCGCCGCCGCTTCACTTTTTTGGGAGGAAAACACCACGGAGGACGATAACTCTTCTTCCTCCTCTTGAGGACTTGTGGGGGAGCCACACGCCACGCAGGGCGCTTTTCTGTTGCTGATGTTTTTCTTCGCTTATTTTCCTTGCGGGCCGCCGCTTGGGCCGCGGTGCCGTCTCCAGCCCCAACTGCCGCCCTTCCCGCCCTGCGTCTTTGTCGTGCGTGCCCCCCCCCCAACGCGTTGCTCTTCTCCCTCTTTGCGTTGCGCCCCCGCAGGCAGGCACGCGGTGCATCTACGCTGCGGCGCAGGTGGGCGGATGGCGCTCTCGCGGTCGGTGCTGGCACTGCCGTCTGTGGGCGTGGAGAGAAGCGACGCAGCGAGAGGGCGACTTCCGTGTGGCTCCCTCTCTTTCGGCGCCACGGAGGACCCGGAGCGCCTCAAACGCCCCTACTGCGTGCAGGTCAAACGTGTCGGGTGGGCCGTTCGTCATGTGAGGGCGGGGCACTCGTCACTGCCGAGGCGGCAACGAGACCAGCGCCGCAACGCCACGGCGGAGTAACCCTGAGAGCGCGGGATGAGCAGCGTTCGCCGTGGCGGCTCCCCCGGCATCTGCGGAGCGCGCCCCCGGCAACTGACACGCTGCCGCCGGAGCAAAAATATTTCCTGCGTGGACGCAGAGAGACCGGGAGTGTTGTGGAGTGCCGCCCCTGCGCCCTGCGCGAGGAGGCATCTGCGGAGCGTGACGCGCTCCGCGAACATGTCGTCGCGGCCGGTGGCCCCATGCTGCCCCGCGGAGGGCCCCCACCTTCTCTCCTGCGCGGCATGCAGCGCGCGGCGGAGACCCGCCCGGGTCGTTTCAGCTGCGCTCAACGACGGCGCCCTATCAAAGGAAGCTGCGGTGGGGGCCAAGGGGGGCGCAGAGGAGCCCACGCCCATGATTTCTCAGCGAGAGGGCCAGTGTTTCCGCACCGCACCGCCCCGCCCGTCACAGAGCGCACTATGGGCCTTGTTGTTGGCGGATTGCGCGACAAGGGCAGGCCCAAGCACAAAGCCACGGCGTGGTTGTGCAGTGGCGCGTGTGTGAGTGTGTGGGAAACGCCGGGGCGCATCCTCCTCGGTGCGGCCCCCGCGGCCTGGTCGGTCTTCCCAAACCCCGATCTGCTCTTGGCCCGCAACGGCGTGGACGATGACGCCGGGTCGTCGGGGGGTGGGAGTGCCCTTAGTTTGCCTTTTTGTATTGCTGCGCCCTCGCACACTTCCAGTCGCTCACAGTGGCGCGTGCCACAGGAACCGCGCATCATCCTTCCTCAGCGCCGGCCACTCTTCGGAGGGACAAAACGGATTAGGCGGGAGCGGCCGGAATTCAACTTGTTCTGCATCCTCGCGTGGCGGGGAACCCCCCACTGCCGAGCTCACCTCGGAAGGGCGGTGGCGCTACACTTGCGGAGACCGAATTATTACGATTAAAAGAGGCAAGAAGAAAGAAATAGTGCTTGGGACATGCAAGGGCGCAGCGTGGGTCGATTCACTCTGCACTCTGCCATCGCAATGCTTCTGAGCCTCATGGTGCGCGTCTTGACAGGGATTTTCGGCTACTTGGACTTCGGCAGCCGTGCAACCGTCTCCGCTCTGCTGCTGTACGACCCAGTGAAGGAGCCGGCGGCGATGGTGGCGTACATTGGCGTGCTGGTGAAGCTGTGCGCCTCCTACCCGCTTCTCACCATGGTCACCCGCAACTCCCTCTACCACAGCTTCGGGTGGCACCCCGGCACGCCGCCGTTCTGGAGGCACTGCATCTTCGTCGTTGGCCTCGCGGTTGCCTCGCTGCTCTGCGGCCTGTTCATCCCAAATATCAACACGGTGTTTGGTCTCATTGGTGCGCTCTGTGGCGGGATTTCAGGGTTCATTCTTCCCGCCCTCCTGATTATGTACGGCGGCAACTGGTCGCTGCGGTCGGCTGGATTCATGCACTACACCCTCACGCACTTCCTGCTCATCGCCGGTGTCACGATGGCGGTATTCGGCACGTGTGACACCATCTACAGCGTTGTGAGCGGCGACTGAGGGCGGCGGGGACCACTGCCCCGCAGGTTTGTGTCCGTGCCTGCAGGCGGCTGTGCGGTGCGCCTCCGCAGGAATTTGCGGCGCGGTGGGTTTCAATGAGTGCGGTCTGCGGCCAGGCGTGTATTCTGCGTCAATAGGCATGTGTTTCCCCGTCTCTTTAGCTTCGTTGCGGAGCTTCTCCCATACTTTTTTTTGCCTCTTTTCGGGTTGTTGTTTTGTTTCTTCTGGCCCTGCGATC